TGGCTATCTTTAAAATTTCACCCTTTGTATTTTCATTGTTTTTCAAATTTTCGTCTTGACTGACATGAGCAAACAATGATTTATGAAAATACCATTATGTTCTAAACTTCTTTGGAGAAAAAGGTAGAAAATAAAGAATTTTTAAAATATGAGAATCATTAGAACTGGTAAAAATGATACCAGTAGACTTGTATAAATTATTTACATATAGAACAAAAATAGAAAAAAGCTATATAAACAGATATACCCGCAAACTTCATGGAGTGAAAATAGAAACTAATAGGAAAATAGAAACTAAGAAACTAGGTAAATCCTAAAAGGGGAGGAAAAGAAAATAGAGAAATGAAAACCAGAACAAATGGAGAGTAAACAGCAGATAAATGTATAACATAATGTGTTTACCAGTACTTACCAGTGAATGATTGGAAAGATCAGAAATTGTCCACATGAGAAATAGGTCAAGAAACTGGTCAAATCTGAAATTATCCAAGTCTAAAATTAACAAAAATTCTTTGTTCTTTAGTCTAGTTCAAAGATTTTTCTTACATTTAATCAAATATCTACTTCCATTTTATCTCTTAATCACTGCCCTATCTTCTAAAACTTAACCAAGCCAATCTTGAAAAGTTAAATTTAGATTATGCCAAAGTCAATGTAAACACTTTCTTCATATTGTTAATTTATATTACACTTAAGGTCAGCTAAAAACTTCTTTTTCCCTCATATGAACTACTCCAAAATTATGTATCATGACCTCCACTGTACTTAAAGAACTATACCTATCCCTGTTAAATTTCATTATGTTACTTTCAGTCCAACATTCCTACTTGTACTTTTGAATATGAATTCTATATCTGATTTTGATTATTCCTTTCAGTAAACCAAGTCATCAGTATCACTACCAGTTGAAACATTTAATGACAAAGACCTATGTCACCCTTCTGGAGCCTTGAACATGCTAATGCACATCAATTTATAGGAAATTTATGGGTAGGGTTGGCCCATCAACTTCAATATTGTGTTGTTATTATCACCCACCTCAAATCTCTTATCCATGAAAATATTGTAAGAAATTTTATCACACTTTTGTTGAGATAGAAATATGCTATGTCTGTTGGCCCTTCCCTAGTCTACTAAACCTAAGTTCCCTATCAAAAATCACATGAAGTCACCACATAATTTTTATAAGCTCTCAGACTATTTGATCTCAATTGTAAACCCCATTTGTACTACTCTTTTGCTGAATAATTGGGAGCTCATCTCTGATTACATGTGAAACCAGCCTGCTTGATACTGGCTAGGATGAGATTGAATTATACACATTGAATCATAAATGTAGAAGAGCTCAATATTATGGTGAATAACTAGATAAACAAGAATCAACCAATATACCAAACTTTAAAAACAATATGGTTTTTTAAACACATAAGTAAGATGTATAAGTAGGCTTGTAAAATTTCTGACTCATGAAATAATTTTCTAACAATATTAATACTGCCAAGATTAAATTACTAACACGCAACTTCAATCCTGTCCTTCTGATGCTCAAAAAATTCAGTAGATCTCTATCAGCTACCAAATTAAGAATGAACTCTGTAACCTGACAGCAGCATAACTCCTACATGTAGTACTGTAATGTATAATAGAACATAAAACTACAGTACTATACTGTACAATACAACCAGCAAAACTTACTGTATAAACAAGATGTACTGTACCAAAACAAAGACTTTGAGGCTGTATAAGCAAGATGTACAGAAATGTACCCCCCAAAAATACAAATATTTATGTGTGTGC